TCTATTCCGACCCCAATATCAAAATTTCCACTACCAACCGGAAAACGCCAAAATTCCAATTTCGCCAATTCAAGCATAAATCTGCTTCAGACCTCCAAAATACATTCCGATCACGCTCCTAAGTCCCAAATCACCTAATGAAGCTATCCAAACCATCAGAATTCACACCCGAGATCTTTTACACATAAGTCAACATCCGGTTGACTTTTCCAACTTAAGCTTACTCAAAAGAGACTAAGTGTCTCATACCTCTTCAAAACCATTCCGAACCCGAACCAACCAACTCGATACCACATAACACAACTGAACAACACATAAAGAAGCAGAAATGGGGGAAACAGAGTGGTAACTCATGAAATGATCGACCAGGTCGTTACATATTTAACTTTAGGCCATTGTTATTGCAATAGCACAAAACTTGGGAATATGGAACTGTGGGAAAGAAAATCTTATATTACACTTCTACTTCAAGAAGCTTAGTGATTGATTCAATTGTAAAGTTGCAGTGGTGTTTCGTTGAAGTTTTCTTGCCTTATCTACTGGAGGAAAACGAGTTAGGCTATATGTATATGGCTGCGTACATATTTTCTTTTCTTGCTTTTATATTAGTTGCTTTATAGGATGATTCAATTATAAATTTGCTATGGTGTGTCGTGGAACTTTTTTTGCTTTATCAACGGGAGAAAAACGAATTTAGCCTACATATACATGACAATGTATATATATTTCTTCTTGCTTTCTAATTGTTTGGGGTATTTTTCGATGTTATATAGAGAGAGCTACCGAATTTTTCTATTATTCGAAGAGGAAAATAATCACGATATTTTTTTGAAACTCTTTATTTGCAGTTTTATGCTTATAATCTTTAAAAATAACCCCAAATTCATAAAATTCGGTTCCCTTATTCTCTGGGTTGCTGATTTATTCTTAATTGGTGTTATTGAGTTCCATAGAAACCAAGATACAACAAAAATATTAGCGAAAGATTAACGTTGATGGTAAAAGAAAAAAAGAATAAACATTGCTACATAAATTTTAGGGAAAGGAGAAGAAATACCTCAACTAGGAGTATTGTCTTTTCCTTTCTATGTATATTGGTTATGTGCCTTTTTTTTTTTTTTTTAAGGGCAAAGATACTTATATTAATAATAATAATAAAGTAGGCATTGTGCTAGGGTACAGGACCCATAGAAATACCATTAGTACATAATAGAGTCATGCCATTTAGGGCATTATCATTACCTAGAGAAGCTAGATTGTTGCATGCATACATACTACACGAACGGGAATAGTTACAACCTTCCTTATCCTTACAATACACATCTAAGGCAAAGTTAGGAGGCTTAGCAAAATAGATAGATATATTATAACTCGGGTACTGTAGAGCTTCCTTGGCCAACTTGTGTGCCACCATATTCCCTTCACGGAAGTTGTGCTTCATCATGATCTCCCCCTGCTCCATTGCCTTTCCCATTAAGCACCTGCATTCATAAATTAAATCATTGTAAGTAGGATAATCCTCTTCTAAAAAACGAATCACCTCTTTGGCATCCGTCTCTATTTCACATGGTATGAACTTTTCCTTGATAATTGTTTGCAGTGATTGACGGAAAGCTAGGAGTTATGCATGTATAGGTGATATAGTTTGACTCTTTGCGTAGTAGCCCAGCATCCATTCTCCTTTGTTATTGCGTATGACTCCGCCGATGGCTCCATATAAATATTCGTCATTGAAAGCTCCATCAAAATTGACCTTGTACCAATTCCTAGGAGGCGGGTGCCATTTGACCTTCACCTTAATGGAAATATTACTAGTAGTGTGTTTAGTAGTTAGTAAAATATATTCCAGTGCTTGATCAAACACTTTAGTGGTGCTGATATTAATGATAGTATTATTAACATTGTTGTCATTCCTGGTTTTCCAGATTGACCATAATGCAAATGGAAAAACATCCTCCCAAGTGATTAAATTGTTTGGTATACTTGGTATCTTTTTCCTTAGGAAATCAACCCAGTGCTCTTGAGGCGTAGTGTTGGAGAAAGGTACCCCTATAGATTTCCAGAAGTTTTTGCCACCTTACACTCCCAAAATATGTGAAGTATGGATTCATTCCTATCTTTGCATATTGGGCAATGTGGGTCTATGTTGATACCAAATTTTCCTAGGTAATCCCTTGTAGGAAGTCTTGGGTGGTAACACTTCCATACAAAAAACTTAATTTTCCTAGGACATTTCATTCCCCATATCCAAGCAAAGTCATTACTAGTATGATTATTTAATTTCACAAACTTTTCATCAATATGATTCTCTCAAATAGTAGCTAAAATATTATAAGTCTGTAGAATAGATTTTTCAATCTCTGTGGGACGATATCATAAACTATACTAGAATTTGACAAAGCACGAGCACGAAATTCCTATACACATTGGCCTCGTCAAATTTTTGGCGCCGTTGCTGGGGATTCGCATACATCTACTTCAGATTAAATATTTTGTTACTAATTTGAGACCATATTATTGTTATTTATCTGTTACTATTATCACTAATTACTAAGTAGTACTATAACTACTACTGCCATATTAATATTATCATTTTCTTTTTGTAACATCACTATAAAAAGAAAAGAAAAAATATATTAGTACTTCTTCCTATTATTGCTATTATTAGCTTTCCTTCATTATATTTAGTGTAATTATTATTAGTACTATCACCTGTTGTATCATTTTTTTTCTCATTGCCAGTACTTCGACATATTTTACTTTTTATTTTTTAATATAGTTTGTTGTTACATATTATTATTTTCTTATCATTGTTTAGTTATTTTTTTTGTAATATTATATTATTATTGTTAGTACTAGTACTTCTACAATGTTATTCTTACTGATCACTATTATTCACTTGTACAACTTTTGTTTATAATTAATAATACTATACTATCTCAATTCGTTGTTAGTATTATTACTGATGCTTACTTGTTAGATTCATTATTTTATATTTTATTTTATTTTATTATAGACAAATTACTAGTATTATTATCTACAATACTATGGTATTTGTTATTCTTTACTAACTATCTATATTATGTTTGAAATTTACTTCAGTTTAGTTATTAATTACTAGTACTAAACTAGAAATTAATAATCTTTTTTTGTACTTTCAAAATTTTAAGTAGTTTTTGACTCGCTCTTCTATAAAAGAGTTGGCTAATTACGATCCTGAAATTGAAAGATTTCTTCGATTGCGCAGGAAAGAACAAACATCATCTTCTCAAGGAGAAGCTTGTAAAGAAATGGAAAACTCGGAAGCAGAGGACATTAACCCACTTGAGATCCCACCACCAGTCCATGTAAAGGAGCAATTTGATGAAGTGGCGCCAAGGCCAGCAAACAGAATCCTTAGGGATTATGCTAGACCTGATCGCTTCAACTGTGAATCTAGTGTCAGGAAGCCCCCAGTGGAAGCCAACAACTTTGAAATCAGGACTGTCTTGATTTAAATAATTCAACAATCTTGTATTTTCACTGGTGATACAAGTGAAGATCCACGTAGTCATTTAATTGATTTTCTAGAACTTGTGGAAACTTCTAAGTACAATGGAGTACCTCTTGAAGCTATCAAGTTAAGGCTATTTCCTTTTTCTTTAAAAGGAGATGCCAAGACTTGGTTGCGAAGTTTGCCTCAAGGGCCCATTACGACATGGGACCAGATGACTCAGAAATTTTTAAACAAATATTTTTCCCCTGCTAAAACAACAAAGTTAAGACAAGACATATCTAATTTCTTGCAGACTAACACTGAGTCAGTTTATCAAGCTTGGGAAAGATTAAAAGTAATGTTAAGAAAATGCCCACACCAGGACATTCCTGAACATATGCAATTATACATTTTTTATCATGGGCTAAAACCCTCTGCTAGAAATGTGATAGATGCAGCTGCAGGAGGTTCTGTAATGGGAAAAACCACAGAGGAAGCATTGCAACTGTTGAATGAAATTTCTGAGAACGCTATCCAATGGCCATCTGAGCGTGTAATCATTAAAAAGGCTGCTACGGTAAATCAGGTTGATGCTTTAAATACACTAACGCAGCAGATTGTTTCTTTGGCACAAAAGTTTGAATCTTTTCAGGTGAATACATAACAATCAAACCAATCTGAGGCTTGTGACATGTGCGGAAGAAACCACCAGAACCATGAGTGTCAAGCAACCAATCAAACGGAGGAACAGGTTAATGTCATCGGTTACAAGCCATTTCCTTTTGGGAGTCCAATGGCACAGAAGCATCCAGGATTTCAGTGGAGTAACCCAAATGGTGCAGAAAACTCACAAAGCTTCCAGAAACAACAGATACAAGATCCGCCGGGATACCAGAGTCAAAATCGTGGGCAACCGAGTTACAGACCTTATCAGCAAGCAAGACCATATCAACAAAGGCCCCAACAAGCTCATCCAAGTCTTGATGACCTTTTTTACAAGTATATTAAGGTCACTGATGAAAAGATGGAAAGCCAAAATTCATCCCTCGAAAATCTGGAAATTCAATTAAGCCAATTGGCAGCTCTTGTGTCAGAAAAGATTCAGAGTCCCTTACCAAGCAATACAGAGAAAAATCCAAAGGAGCACCTTAAGGCCATCACTTTACGGTCAGGTAAGGAACTAGATGAACCTTATGCAGGCAGACAAGAAAAGAACTAGACAGAACAACAGGTAGACAAGGGTAAGAATTTTGAAAAACCATCTGAACCATCAAAGGAGAAAGAAATAAAGAATAAGGAAGAAAAAATTTCTGAAAAAATGGTTGTCCCACCTGTGACAATTCCTTTTCCACAAAAAATGAAACGAGAAAAGCTTGATGGTCAATTTGCAAAGTTTTTGGAAATCTTAAAACAGATTCATATTAATATTCCTTTTACTGATGCTTTGTTGCAAATGCCTTCATATGCTAAATTTTTAAAAGAAATTTTGCCAAGTAAAAGGAAATTGGAAGAAGTTTCTGTGGTAATGCTTACTGAAAAATTCAGTGCTATACTTCAAAATAAGCTACCACAAAAACTTGGTGATCCTGGCAGTTTTACCATTCCATGCACTCTGAGAGGAGTATATTTTGAAAAAGCACTTTGTGATTCTGGAGCTTCAATAAATTTGATGCCATTTTCTATCTTTAGAAAATTGGATCTTGGTGAAATGAAAGACATAGGTGTTTCTCTTCAGTTTGCAGATCAAAGTACTAAGAAACCTAAGGGAATAATTGAAAATGTGCTTGTAAGAGTAGATAAGTTTGTGTTCCCTGTAGATTTTATAGTGCTTCAAATGAAAGAATGTCCTGATGAACCGATAATTTTGGGTAGACCATTTCTTGCTACAGGAAGAGCAATCATAGATGTTCATCAAGGGCAACTAATCTTGAGAGTTGCTGAAGAAAGAGTCATTTTTGATATGCAAAAGATACTAAGATTTTCAGGAGATGAGACATCATCTTCATGCTTTTCTATTGACATGATTAGTGATCTTGCAGATGAATTCAAAGATGATCAATTAATTTCAGACTCAATGGAAAGATGTTTGACCAAATCAGGCACCGCACAAGATGATGAT